CTGTTGAAACAGCACGGTTAATTACTTGGCTGACATGCGTGCCACACTCACCTCTACCTGCCTTCACGCCAGCCCCTCTTCTAATTAATTATCCTCAGGATTATCTTTTCCATATCGACGACTGTGTGAATGCGAAACACATGGCTGCAGTTTGGGTAAATTCCCTCCCGCATTTCTAAGCGTTGCTTGTGACAAGTAACTAATTTAAGAACACCGTGTTTCCTTTCCTATCTACCAACACAGCCAGGAATGCCGATATTCTCCATAATACGTGATTCATCTCACAAAAGCGGTGTTTTGATTTTGTTTTTTCTTCTTTTTTTTTTTTCCTGGAAAGTGCTATCTTTACTTTAAAGATGCTACAGGCAGCTCTTAATTCAATTCAGGGAAACAAATAATCCTCGATTGCCCACGGCACCCAAGAGGCGCTGCGTCATCAGAGGCAACGACTACAGGTTTTCTTTCCTCCAGTCCGTGAATGAGACACTTTTGGTTCATTTTCCCGAATACTTACCCACCATCCAATCCATCTCTTCGACGTTGTCACCGTACCGTCCGTGTTTACTGTGCCCCACAAACTTCTCCTGGGTGGTCAGTGGCGTGTGGACGTGCAGAAAACAAAAAAGCAGCAGGAAAGGCCCATGTTTATACCTAAGGGGCAGAGGGGCACCTGAGTTACCTTCGTCAGCAAAGGCGCTTTTTCCCCCCACTTGGATATTATTCTGCCTCCGTGGAAAGATCTCATAAGTGTTGGCAGAGGCTTCTATGTATTTATGTGACTATAATCCATCGTGGGAGCAACACATACCACAGCTAGACTTACGCAGAAAGGATGTGAGGGAGAAAAAAGAATAACGGAAAATTTGTATTAGCAGCAACGCAGGTGGGGGACTCTCTCATTTGATCTCTTGCGTCCAGGGTACCATGGGACATAAAGGAGCGGCTTAATGCATCTTTTTAATCTCGGTTGAGTGAATAGGTGACTGAACGAATGCGTGAATGAAACCTGTGTCGACTCTCCCTCCTCTCTGTTCTCCCAGGGCCCCTCAGTCACGCACACCCCAACATGTAACTGGACACACGGTTGCCATGAACACAGGCTGCTTATATGTAGGAGTGTCCGTGTGAACAGCTACCAACCCAGGGAGACAAGGGGCATGTCAGTAAAAAGATAGCATGTCTCCGAAAGGAAGGGTTCCGGTACAGTTCTTCTTCTCCTTCCTTTGTGCTGCCTGGAACATAAGTGTGATGGCTGGAGCTTTGGCATCCACTTTGGGCTACGAGGCTGCTCCTGCAGAATTTTGAAACAGAGCGAGCTAGAAGGAGCTAGGGTTAAGCAAAGAGTGAATGTGATAGTCACAAACGCTTATGAGGGAATGCGGTCCCTTTGCCTACTAGTGAATCCCATGGAGTTATACTGTGTCACCCTCATGCATGCCCCCACAGCCCCACGAGGAGAGCAGAGAAAAGGGGTTGATGAGCCTGCACACTGGGCACTTCAAAATACCTCTCATGGGTCACCTGAAGTGAACAGGTGTGCCAAGGTCAGACAGCGTTTCATTCACGTGTGCGTGGCTTGCATTAAACGTATAAAACTTAAAACTGGATGTCACTACACAGAGTCACTTCCTAATTGTGAACGCCTGTGTATTTTCAGGCGGTGTCTGGGGCAAAACAAAATCAAAATAAAGCTCAAAGAGTCCATCAAATTTGATGCTGACACACTGATGGATTAAAATGCCGTAATTCCAGTTTTGTTTTGGTTTTCCTTTTGTTGAAGCAGCAAGCAAAATATGTTTCTTCGTATTTTCAGGGTTCGAAATTTGCAGGAAATGTTACCTATCCATTTTTTTGTATCTCCGTAGACATTTTAACATACCGCACCTATCTCACACACAGAGAAGGCCCATCTCATCCAGAGAGACGCAATTTCTCTGAAAGAACAACACGGCCATGCAGGAAGTCAGCCCAGCCCGGAGGGAACACCTGTCCTACCTGTCGACGAAGCTCAGGGCTTCCTTCAGCATGAGCATGGAGACTTGGTCTTCTCGCATCGGCTGCTGGAGGATTTCGTGGTTTCTCATCAGGACGCAGTTCCATCGCCGAGTGAAGCCGTAGCTGGCGTACCAGGACGCGAAAAACAGGAGGGCGAGCAGTGCGACGGTCACGATGACCGTCCAGGGGACCGCGAGCCAGCCGGCGAGCTTGGGGACAAGGAGCAGGAGAGAGGCGAGGCCGATGCCTGCCGTGGCCACGCAGAGCTGGACCCTGAGCCGGCCGTGCAGCTCCGGCGTCTCGGATGCTTGGCAGTCGCTCAGAAGGCCTAAGG